GCTTTCTGGCGCCTTTGAGGGGCAAATATGGCACTTGGGGGAGCAAGAGTTCCGGGAACTTGTATTCTTGAAGTTAGATACTCTAAATATTGTCCAATGGAGTGCCTTTTCTTATCACTTCCCTAAGCTTCAACATCTCATAATACAGAATTGCAAAGACCTTTTGAAAGTGCCATATGATTTTGTGCACATACCTAAACTGCAGAGGATTGAAGTTCTGTGGAGCGGACAATGTACAGAAGAGTCAGCAAAAAAAATTGGGGAAGCAACAGGGAAGATCAAAGTCGTAATCAATTCTTTATAATTGAGATCATCCGCATGATTGTGTATGGACATTGTTGCTTTCTGTCAACAGGTATCTTGGGAGGAAAACATCTAGTCACATATTATGAGTGACCAACTAGTATTTATAGGAGTACAACCCTAATAAACTATTTACAAAAATACCCTTACTAATTTATTATCTACAAGAATACTTATATTCTCTTAACACTCCCCCTCAAGTTGGAGCATATATATCATAAGCACCCAACTTGTTACAAAGGTATTTCACCCTAGAGCCCCCTAAGCTCTTGGTAAACACATCAGCCAATTGATCTACAGACGGTACATGAGATGTCTTGATGACCCCGTCAAGCAATTTCTCTCGAATGAAATGACAATCAACTTCAATATGTTTTGTCCTTTCATGAAACACTGGATTAGACGCAATATGAACAGCCGCCTGATTATCACACACTAAATTCATAGGCTGTTTATGCTCAAACCCAAGTTCAAGTAACATGCTCTTCAACCAAACCAACTCACACACAGTGTGAGCCATAGCGCGGTATTCAGATTCTGCACTTGATCTGGATACAACTGTTTGCTTCTTACTCTTCCACGACACTAAATTACCACCAACAAACACACAATATCCTGTAGTCGATCTTCGATCTGAGGCAGAACCAGCCCAATCTGCATCACTATATCCTTCAATATCAGTGTGTCCATGATTTTGATACAGCAACCCTTTTCCAGGAGCACTCTTAAGATACCTGAGAATCCGTATAACAGCATCCCAATGACTAGTACGAGGGGTATCAAGAAATTGACTCACAACACTCACTGCAAACGAAATGTCAGGTCTCGTTACAGTGAGATAATTTAATTTACCCACAAGTCTTCGATATTGCTTAGGATCATCAAGTAATGCACCTTGATCTCCTGCTAATTTCACATTGGGATCCATAGGAGTATCCACAGGTCGGCAACCTAACATCCCAACTTCACTCAACATATCGAGTACATATTTCCTTTGACATAAATAAATCCCATATTTAGACCGAGCTACCTCAATACCCAGAAAATACTGTAGATGACCTAAATCCTTTGTCTGAAAGTTTGCCTGCATATTGGATTTAAGCTTCTGGATCCCCACAACATCATCACCTGTAATCACAATGTCATCCACATAAACAACTAATAAAATTTTACCAGCATTAGAATGCCGATAAAATACAGAATGATCTACTCCACATCTTGTCAGACCGAACTCCATGACAACACTACTAAACCGGCCAAACCAAGCTCTCGGAGACTGTTTCAATCCATATAAGGATTTTTTCAAACGACAAACCAACCGCGGATTCTCCCCCTGAACAACAAATCCAGGAGGTTGTTCCATATATACCTCTTCTTCCAAATCTCCATGCAGAAATGCATTTTTCACATCCAACTGATGCAATGGCCAATTATAAGTGGCTGCCAAAGAGATAAGAAGACGAACAGAGGTAATCTTTGCAACAGGAGAAAATGTTTCTAAGTAGTCCACTCCATACACCTGAGTAAATCCTCTAGCTACCAGACGAGCCTTTAATCTATCAATAGAACCATTAGGCTGCACTTTTATAGTGTACACCCATTTACAACCAACAACAGGCTTACCTGAAGGACGAGGGACAAGATCCCAAGTACCATTTTGTTCCAAAGCAGACATCTCTTCTTGCATGGCTAATCTCCAACCAGGATGATTAAGAGCATAGGTAATAGACTTAGGAATGGAGATAGAATCAAGGGAAGCAACAAAAGAAGAATATGACATAGAGAGATGAGAATAAGAAACAAAATTAGAAATAGGATGAGAAGTACAATGTCTCTTACCTTTGCGTAAAGCAATAGGAAGATCTAACTCAGAGGAGGGCGTCATACCTGGATTTGAAGAGTGAGAGTTAATTGGTGAAGTGCGTGGCATATCAGGAACTTTCTCAACCATGGAACGACGAGAGTAAACTTGAAGATGAGGACGAGATAATCGAGCTATGGAATCTGGTGGATTAGATAACTCAGGTAATAAAGAGAAGGGACTGGTAAAACAGGAGAGGAAAAAGAGTGACACTGGTCTAACTCACAAGACATACTTTGTTTGAGAAAATATGGAGTGGATTCAAAGAAAGAAACATCAGCACAAGTAAAAAATCGATTTAAAACTGGACTGTAACATCTATACCCTTTTTGCGCTCGTGCGTATCCTAAGAAAATACACTTAATAGCACGAGAATCTAATTTATCCACCCCGGGAGCAAGCTGATGAACAAAGCACACACATCCAAAAATACGAGGAGGCAATTTAAACACAGGTTCATGAGGAAAAAGAATGGAGTGAGGTAATTGCCTCCAAGAATAGTAGATGGCATGCGATTAATTAAATAACATGCAGTTAGAACTGCATCACTCCAAAATTGTTTGGGCACATTCATGTGCAACATAAGTGTCCGAGCAACCTCGATTAAGTGTCCAATCTTTCTTTCAGCAACTCCATTCTGTTGTGGAGTGTGAGGACAAGAGGACTGATGAATAATACCGGACTTAGTCATGAAGGTATTAAAAGGAGTGGAAAAATATTCTTTCGCATTATCACTGCGAAGTATACGTACAGATACACCAAATTGATTCTTTATTTCTGTAACAAATGCACAAAAAATGGAATATAGTTCTGAACGATCTTTCATTAAATAAAGCCATGTAACTCTTGAAAAATCATCAACAAAGATTACAAAATATTTAAAACCTAACTTTGAAGTGACTCGACTAGGACCCCAAACATCAGAATGAACTAACAAAAAGGGTTCCGAAACCCGTTTATTGACCCTAGGGGCAAAAGAAACACGATGATGCTTTCCTAATTGACAAGACTCACATTCTAATGAAGACAACTGACTCAAGGTAGGAACCAACTTCTTCAAATTTTGTAGAGACGGATGACCCAAACGACAGTGAATTTCAAGAGGAGAAACAGTAGCAGGACATGCAATCGGACCATTAGAGTTGAGAAAATAAAGACCATTATGCTCGCGTCCTCCACCAATCGTCCTCTTTGTCTTCAAATCCTGAATAACAACAAAATCAGGAGAAAAAATAACTGAACACTGTAGAAATTTGGTAAGCTTACTAACGGACATTAGATTAAAAGGCAAATTTGGTACGTAAAGAACAGAAGGCAGCGGAAGAGATGGGTTAATTTCTACAGTGCCTAGTCCTTTAACTTTAGTTGTAGATCCATCAGCTAAAGTAACATGAGGGAAGGAAGTAGACTCTTGAAAATTAGAAAAATTTCTAGAGGTACCTGACATATGATCAGTAGCTCCGGAATCAATGATCCATGTGTCAAAATTTTTGGAAGTGGAGAGACAAGCCATAGCATTACCTTTTTGTGCTAAAGAAGCAGAGGGAAGAGATGCTTGATTTGCAGTTTGGTACTGCAGAAATTTGACATAATCTTCCTCGGATATGGTAAAAGTTTTCTGGGACCCTTGTGCTGAAGAACTTGATTCAGCTTGGTCAATGGTAACCGCATTAGCAAACCGAGGTGGTTTTCCATGTAAATCCCAACAAGTATCATGAGTGTGATTCTTCAAACCACAATGAGTGCACTCACGGGTGCCTCGACCTCCACGACCCCCACGACCTCCTCTACTTCTTCCTCCACGAGAGCCACGTCCCAAGTTGAGTTGCTCTATCCGACCATTGTTAGCAACTAAAGCAGATTTGTCATTAATTAGAGCACCATCACCATGTGTAGTGTCCTTAGATGCAGAACGTAAGACCCGAGCATACGCCTCTGCAAAAGATGGTAATTGTTCACCTGCTAAAATTTGAGATTTGATTGGTTCAAATTCTGGCTTGAGACCGGCCAAGAATTTGAGCACAAGCATTTGTTCTCTTTGCCTCTGCATAACTGTAATATCACTTGAGAGAGGCATTACGGCATTTAATTCTTCTGAAACTCGCTTAAGATCAGCAAAGTATTCAGTTACTGTCTTGTTTTCTTGTTGCAACTGAAAATACTCCAAAGAAATATCATACATCCGTGAAAGATTACTACAGTATAATAACCGGACATAATCCCAAACTTCTTTTGTTGTCTCACAATGAGAACACATGTAAGCAATTCGTGGCTCCATAGAATTCCATATTGCTCCAAGAATTTGGGCATCCTCTTGAATCCACATTAGTTTCTTGTTGTCCTCCGTAGGAGAGTCATCTGTGAGATATCGTTGCTTTCCTAAGCCTGTCAGATAAATCTTAACGGCTTTTGACCACTGTTGATAATTAGTGTCATTCAACTTCCAATTTGTGATTTGAGGCATCACCATTGGCATAATATTAGTAGACGTTACAATACCTTTTGATAGACTTTCAGCCATAACGAATAGCACTCCAAACCAAACGAAGGGTCAAAACTGAACCGCGCGTGAACAGTGCCGTGAACAGTAACGGCGCCCCCCCCGTGAACAGTGTCGCGTGAACAGTCGCGATGACCAAAACTTTTGCTAGATGTTTAACCCTAACCCTAGGACTTTTGCTCTGATACCATGTCAACAGGTATCTTGGGAGGAAAACATCTAGTCACATATTATGAGTGACCAACTAGTATTTATAGGAGTACAACCCTAATAAACTATTTACAAAAATACCCTTACTAATTTATTATCTACAAGAATACTTATATTCTCTTAACACTTTCTTTCATTCAAGTGTAAGTAGTACTTATCTTCTTAACTTTGTTGTGCAATGATATTCCTATTAAATACATCTAATTGAGGATGTATGACAATCTGAAAAGTATAAGAACTTCGAATTACTACACTGTAGTTTGGGAAAAGCTATTCAATCTGGGTTGTCATTTGTTCATTTGAAGTGTTCTGAGAGCTTTAAATGAATGTTCAATTGTTTCTTACCCAAGTTAAGTCCTTAGTCAGCTTAGTATGTTTTCTGACTTGATTTGGTTAGTTTCTCCATTTTTTCTAATTCATAAATCTGTACTATTTTCAAAATATCAAGTTCAAAAAGTATGTACTTTTTTCATAAATCTGTACTTTTTTCAAAATATCAAGTTCAAAAAGTATGTCTCTCAAGGAAATTTGATGCTGTAAACATTTTGTTTGTAATGCAAAGTACAGAAAGCAGAATTAGGGGTTCGTGAACGTTTATCTCCACTTCTTTGTGGTTGTATATTTTTAATGTAACATCTTTCGTATATGCTGACTGAAAACTTATTGCTTGCATTTCTTTGACACGTGCCTTAAATACTTGTGCTTGTGATCAATTTTGTTGGTGGTTTTGCCAATTAACAGTTGAAAATATGTAATGCATGTCTACATCTTATTGCAGGGTAATTCTATTCAAGATGCCCTCAGTTTGGTGGAACTCATGTAGTCAGTTTTATATTATGAGATTGATTTCTTAATTTTTGGCCAGCGGGAATGGTCTTCTGTCATTCCAAACCTCTCCTTCAAAGAAACTTGATGTCCATTCTAAGTCACATGTCCTATTTCTGAGAACAAATTTTGCTCCGAAGGATACACGCTAGTCAAGAAAGCTACGTTGGGCTACCCCAGTGAGAGTATTACAAAAATTAGCAGCTTGTTCATGATGATAATGCTCTGATGGCTATTGAGTTAGTGAAAAATGTGTGTAGATGAAGATTGAAAAGAAATCGGGAAGAGGCTCCAAATATTGACATAATCTTCTCCATTGATGGCAACACAATCTGTGGCCATACATGAATGCCAGGTACATGTCCAATAATATTGCAAAGTCCAGATATTCCTTTTAAATCTCATTCATGGAAATTTTCACTGGTTTACTTAGTTTTACCTGAGGATGTATGATATGTAGAAAGATATTAAGAACTTCAGACTACTGGATTATAAATTCAGAGATATGGTTAACAATTTGTTCAGTTCAAGAATTTGGGACCTTTATATTAGTGTTTAATTATTCTTTTCTTCCAGCATTACACATGGCTATTACTTTCTGCACTCTTTTAAGTGAAGCATGTGGTTCTAGAAATGCATTCTTGTCACTGTCAGAAATGCAGTATCAGTCAGTAGGATATCTAATGCGCCTTTTTCTAAAGTCAGTAGGATATCTAAGATGAAGAACTAGTGACAATATTGGATAAATTCTCATGACAAAATGTTATGTTAATCTCTTTGTCCTTTTTGTTATTTGTTCGCTTTCTGCTTATGATATTTAATTGACATTATGTATCTAATTTTTGGTATTGTTTTGTTGTTCACGACTGGGGATTTGAAATTCATTGTGGACAGACTTTGCAGTGATTTCCTTTGTGGCTGCTTGTTAAGTTTCTAATACAAGGTTCTCTACTGTTTGTAATCAACATTAAGATTTTAGATATTTCAGTTCCATTTCTTATTGCTTTCAAGAAAACCTAAATTATTTTCTTATAGGAGTTGTTGATTAACCTTCTCCTTCTGATATGCGGATCTCTCTCAGGATAATTATAGCTTAAACTTTTTGTTTGTTTACTGAAGAGCCGTCACTTGCTTTGATATCTTTAAAGCATGCCTTGGATATGGCTGCTCGTGTTCATTTGGTTGGGATTTCCTGAGTTCATTGTTTGAAAGTATAAAAGCAAGTTTACATCTTGTTGCAGTAGGTCCTGCTTTTGGTGCTCTCACATCATCAGTTTTGTTTGGGATATTGGTGGACAATTGGCCTGCCAAAAATGGTGATCTTTTGATGGAACTCACTACTTCTTGTTATTTGGATAAGACTTCTAAAACTGATTCTGTTGCTGACGACAGTTACTGTACCATAATATGCAGCTAAGAAAGATGAAACTGCTTCGACAACAAATTTAAGCTGCTAATATTGATAATCCTCTGAAGAATATCAAGATAGCATAAATCTGGCTTTGTCCATAATGGAGACAGGTGAGGGGGATGCACTTCAATGCAGAAGTAGTCTTCCCAATTGGTAATCAGCTAGTGTCCTCCAAAAGACAGGAGAGAAGCAATGCTGAATGTGGGTGTGCAGAACATGCTATTTTTGTGGAGAGTCATTTCCATTCGTCAAACCAGCTTGAAGTCAATGCCGATATTCATGTTAACCTGGAAGTTTTGGTGTTTTTCTTCATTTTCTTCCTTGTTATTCTAATGGAAATTTTGCTAGAACCTAAACGTTTGATGTTAATACGAGGCACCCTAATCAATTTCCAGAAGTCAGGAGATTATTCTGAGCTTCTCAATTTCTATACTCCTTTTTGGACTGGTAAGAATGATTATTACGAGGCACCCAAAAGTGTAAGAATGATTTAAAGCTCTACCACATGGGTAGATGAAACTCAGAATTCCACTCTACAAACACAACATACAAATTGAGGTCAATCATGATCCCCACCTTGATGGTGCACATTTTTCTTTGAGGTGTAAAAGATATGTATCTTGAACTTCTACTAAGCATATCATAATTATATGTAGCAACTGCTTCTACTTTTACTGCTAAGTTTTTCTTCTTCTTGCTCCTCTTTGCTTTTTTCGGTCATTTCATGGCGGAATGTTGAGCATTATTGCTTTTATCTCTTCTCTTAGGTAGTTCGTTTGTCACTGGAATTACATTGTTGCTTCCATTCAGTCATGGCAGGTGCCGTTTGGCCCTTTTCGTCTTCTTGAGGGCCTTTTCAGGCATATACGCATTTACTACTTCTTTACTTGCTTTTTCCCTTAGTCTATTCTGCTGCCCTTTTTATGTTCATGATGAGAATTTGGTCGTTTTGAAGGAAGTAGCAGTTCTGTTGGTTACTTTGGTTTCGTAGATCTGCTGCCACAATATCCTTTGAGATGGATTTCTCCTGTTGTGTGTCTTACTTTTGTGGGGTTTATTTTATGATATTGCCCTGTTTCTGCATGTCACTTAGGATTAGCCGTTAGATTTGCCTTCTTTATGTGAAGTTCAAGAATGCTCTGATTGCTCTCCCGACAAAGCATTTGCATTAGGTTTTTCTAACTCACACCATTAAACTTATTTCTTTCTTTCCTCCCCCCCTTTTTCTTATACCATGCATTGTATAACTTTGTTCTTAATCCATAACATACTTCTTTACCCCTTTTTGTTAATCTAATACTTTTGGTGCATTATACGAATACTTGTAGCTTTTGGCGCTACATTTTCCATCAATCACTAGTTTAGTAACTTTCAGTACCATATACATAAAATACTTTTATAAAGGTACCAAACTCTACTCCACTCCCCGTTTGGGGTTGCAGTGACTTATAAAGAAGTACTTCTAACATAAATGCTTTTGAGTTATCAAAAACTGAGTTATTTAAGTTATGGGAAATTAGTTACCAACACTCCAGAAATACTTTCAGTGTTCAACAGCGTTTTTTTTTTGTAAATGCACTGCAATCCCAAACGGGAGAATTAATTTGGATTAGGTGGAAGTTCAAAAAGTGATAGTAGCCCAGTGTTCTGGTCATAAACCAACCTCCATAGGCTGTAATTCTAGTAAGAGTGAAGGTGCTGGAGAAGTTGAGAGGGATGAAGGAGGTCAGGCAGAGTAGGTACTTGGGGTTACCTCTGGTAATTGGCAGGTCCAAAACACAAGTGTTTAACTTTGTAAAGGATAAGGTGATTAGGAGGATATCAGGCTGGAAAGAAAAGCTACTCAGTTTGGCAGGGAAAGAAGTGTTACTGAAATCAGTGGTTATGGCCCTTCCAGCTTATGTGATGTCATGTTGTAAGCTCCCTAAGGAGTTGTGTAGGGATATGGAGAGGGAAATGGCTAAGTTTTGGTGGGGAGGTAAGGGTGAGGAGAGGAAGTTGCATTGGTTAGGTTGGGGAAAGCTGTCTGAGGTTAAGCAGAATGGGGGCTTGGGTTTTAGAGACTTAGAAAATTTCAATTTGGCTCTCCTGGCCAAGCAGTTATGGAGAGTCCTTACTAGGCCAAATTTGCTAGTGAGTAAAGTCCTCAAAGCTAAATACTTCAGAGGATCCTCAATTTGGAAGCTGAGAAGGAAAAATACTGATTCCTGGTGTTGGAAAAGTATATTGAGTGCGAGGGATTTGCTGGAGGAGGGGATGAGGATGAGGGTGGGAGATGGGAAAACAATAGACATCTGGAAGGATAGATGGGTCCCTGGGTTGGCAGGAGGAAAGGTGAGCTCAAAACAGGATACAGAATTGGGATTGTGTAAAGTGAGTGAATTGATGAAGAATGGAAGATGGAATGAGGAGTTACTGGGAAGAGTATTTGATAAGGAGGAGAGGGAGAATATTTTGCTGATTCCTTTGAGTCTCCAGGACTCCAAGGATCGACTGTTCTGGGCACATTCTGCTTCTGGGGAGTATATTGTCAAGTCTGGATACAGGTCTGCTCAGGGAAGGAAGGTAGGAAGGGGTAGGTGGTATGATCAGGAGGATTCAGGTAGTAGGAATGAGGCAAATGCAAAGGGATGGAAAGTGTTATGGAAACTTAACATGAAGCATAAGCTGAAGCATTTTGTATGGAAGTGTATGAAGGGAATCCTGCCAGTTAATGAAAGCATCAAGGCCAGATGTAAGCACGGCAATCCAATGTGTAAATGCTGTGGTATCCACTCAGAGTCGATTGAACATATGTTGTTCTATTGTAGCCATGCGGAGGTGATCTGGAAGGTGGCTCCAATACAATGGGATGGTTTGGAGAATCTAAAAGGAAAATTCTGGTTGTGGTGGTCTGAGCTAGTGGAGGCAACAGCTAGGGATCAGGGAGAGGAGCATATTGTGTTCACAGTCAACCTGCTATGGCAAATTTGGAAAGACAGGAACGAGATTAACTTCAATGGAAGGGGTAGAGGTCCAGGGGTGGTGGTAAATAAAGCTGTAACGGAGTGGCTGGAGTATCAAGAGAGTTTAGGGAAGGGTAGAGAGGACGAGGGGGTGCCACAGCAACTAAAAAAGGAGAAAGGAAGATGGTCCGCTCCTGTCAAAGGATGGATCAAGCTGAATACTGATGCTGCTTTGAATCGGCAGAACAAAAAAGCTGGTTGGGGCATTGTGGCCAGGGACTGGGAAGGAAAGCTGGTTGCTACTTGGGCCTGTCCTTCGTTCACTTGCTCGGTGCCTGTTCTTGAAGAGGCTTTGGCAATAAGAAGTGCAATGGTAAAAGCTGCTATAGAAGGCTGGGAAAGAATTATTGTAGAGTCTGACTGTAAGGCTGTGATCGATAAGATTGAGAAGGATATGGAAGATGTTGTTACGTCTACTGTCTTGCAGGACATTAAACTGCTACAATATAACTTTGAGAAATGTTGTTTTTCCTTTGTTAGGAGGGATCTCAACTCTGTTAGTCACTCTTTAGCTAAGTTTGCTCTAAAATTAGATGCTGTTGTTAATTGGAAAGATAGCTTTCCAGTTTGGTTGCTTGAATGTGCTCAAGCAGACGTTGAGGAGCAGTTGCTTCAGAATGTGTAACTTGTTAATTGATGAATGAATTGGTGCCGTTTTAGACAAAAAAAAAAAAAAAACCAGCGAAAAACTATTTTGCCTCTAATTGCAGCAAGGGATATGTGGGATTTAACCTACTCAGTACAATTACAGTTCGGCCCTCACAATTGATTCAACAAATTTAAAAGTGTTCGATTGCGACAAGCACTAGATTAGTAAAGTAGTGGACATAATTACTCATCTTTTACAATATTTCTGTGAACAATTCTACCTATGCAACATGAGCATGTGCTTGTCAATATGTCATTATTGGATAAAGTATCATGGAATCTCAACTTTTTCTCAGAGTTTTTGCTCTGTCAAAATTAAGAAGACATGGGATACATCAAGATATAAGTTGGCAATTGGCATAGCAGTTGTATAAATTTTATTCATTTTGATTTGGTATTTCATTAAAATGTTGGTAGCTGTGATGTATTTGTACACATTATGAAACTAAAATGTATATACAAAAACAGCAATGTGTGGCCAGGTGAGTTCTTGTAGTAGTGATGGGGATTTAGAAATGGGGAAATGAGCACTAATAATTTGGTCAAGGATGGATGGCTGATTTATTAAATGCAAAAATGCAAAGTCACCAAATTATTTGGACAGGCACTATGATGACTGATTTATCAAGTTATTTAAGTGAAAAGTAGTGGATAAGAATGGATAACTTCTTTATAAATAATCATGTGTTCGAATTTCATTTTTATCCTCAATACGAGGGTTCGAGTTCTTGAATTCCAATTTTATTCCCGTCGCTGATTATGATTATGTTGATGGACGTGTCTTCGTCGAAGCGAATCTATCCAAATTTTTTTCTTATTAAAACAAAAAGCTCTAACTTTCTCAGCAAAATAAAAAAAAAAGGAAAAAAGAAAGAGTACGCCTACTAGTGGCAGTTCGGTACCTAGGATGTTCGCAGTCATGCAGCTGAGCTGGGGGGACCCACCGAACGGGAAACCGTCCGGTTTTCTAGTGTTCAGACATTGGAGGCAGGCTATAATTTTTTTGGAAGCTACTACATTACAAGTACTGAAAGAGGTTACTGGATCTATTGAGCATAATCTGACTGAGAAAGCCCAAAATACATTGATATTATATTTTGGTCACTATGGCTTCGAGCTTTGATAGCTTTCATTTGGCCTTGCAAGAGTTACAGAATGATCTGGACGAGTTTGTTGAGGAAGAAGAGGAAGAAAGAGCTTCGGAGCTTTCAAGATTATCTAGCAACATTGATGTTCTGAGCAGGGATTGGAGGTTTCTGAGGATGCTTTGGGAGTCTATTCAGGGCCAAAGAGATTCTGGAGATAAGCAGCTTGTGCAGCTGCAGCAGCAGCATCTAGAGGATTTGGAACAGGAAGAAAGAGAATCAGAATCCAAGTCTCTTGCTCTTGCCCTCAGAATTGAAGCAGCAGTCGAGGAGATTCTGCGGGACCTTGTTAGCCTGTCTGAGATCAAGAAACGCAAGAAGAGCTGCAAGGATTCAGAGTGTGAATTGCTACAGTTGGTAGTTGACTGCCAAACAAAAACCGATCAATTCATAACAGAAATTAGAGAAGTTGTTGACCACCATATATTAAGATGCTCGTTCCAGGTTCACCCTTCTCCTCCTGTTGATGTTTATTTTTGGAGGAGTTTTGTGGATTCTGTAATGTTAAATCTGTGGTCTGTCCATTCCACTCTGCATCTCTTTGATGATAATGAAGTTGGCCAAGTTAGTCTAGTTATTGATGAGAAACAAGTGTTTGCCTCATTCAAGGAGCTGGAATTGATCCGGGATTATGTGCTTGAAATTATACGGTCACCGTGATGTAACTTTAATTATTA